AGAATTTTTTGATATGCAGTGTTATCTGGGACAAAGTATGGATTGAAACAAACACGTGGGAAATTTGGTCTTGGTGCAAAGATGGTAGGTTTTCATATAATTTCCTTTGGAGTTTATTCGTAACTTTTAAGATGAATGTCATCGTTTTTAAATTTTTGGTTCCTACTTTTTAACTTGTTTTTGAACTATTCCCTCTGTCCCAAATTGATATTCACATGTGAAAATGGCATATAGATTAAGACTTTGTTTTTTTGGGTGGGGTAAACAGAGTTGAAGAAGTCAAAAGGATTTGGAAAAAAAATAGGAATTGAAAGATATTGAAAGTAGTTGGAAGAAATTAGAAGAAAGTTGAAAAGCCAAAAGAAGTTGGAAGAAACTCGAAAAACTTGAAAGAAGTTGAAAGAAACTCAAAAAAGTTGAAAGGAGTTGATATACTCCCTCTGTCCCAAAACTAAAGTCCCACTTACTATTTATGTGTCAAACAATTTTTTCTTTCTTCACTTAATTTTGTTAATCATTTATCAAAATAATAGTCATGTCACCTCTTGTTTTATGAGCATTTGATGTAGTTTTTAAAAAAATACTATGTAATTTTTATTTTAAAGTATTATATAACTATTTAAATGAAATGAATTTAGTCAACCATCGTAATCCGAAATGGGACTTAGTTTTGTGACGGAGGGAGTAAATATTATAATTATACCCCTCAGTCCCATACGTTTCTTCTCGTCTTGACTTGGCACGGGTTTTAATATAAAGTGTAAAAAAGTGTTGACTTCCACTTTTGCCCTATCACAGCTTCACTTATTGTCCCTTATTCTTCTTCAAGTCTCTGCCACAGTGCAGTTCTCCTTCGTCGACCTCAACTCTATCACTACAAATTCATTCTTCTTCGTCTTCTTCAACGAAATCAAAATGAAAATATAAAATGAAATCAAAATCAAAGCTCATCACATTCAAGAAAATCAAATCTCATCACATTCGTGAAATGAAAATCGAAGAGAAGATCAAAGCATTAGTTCTAAATCTCAACGGAGTATATAAACTAAGAATCATAACTTGGAAATAGATTTGATGCTTGGCGACTACCCCATCAATGGCAGATCTAATTCTCAACCAAAGTGTCAATGTCGAGAAGCTTGTTTTGCACTTTTGCAGCGTCTATGTGGCAACCGTCAATGGCAAATCTAATTGTCAATCTAATACTCATTGTCCATCACCGGCTCCTCCGCCTTGATTTTTTCATGTATGTAAAGAGAGGTGGGTGGCGGTGGCTACCATCTGGACCCCAAACATGAAGAAGAAAAGGTAGTGACTACATCTAGGAGGGACACTGATTAGGGAGAAGAAATAGAAAGATGGGGGCGGTTTGACGAAGAAGAAAAAGAGATGGGGGACTTACAAGCGAAGGAAGTAAAAATAGGGTGAAGAAAAAATAGGCGGGAGAGAGAGGAAGAAAGAAATGAAAAAGAAAAAGGAGAGTAAATTAGTCTTTTTAGTAAAATTTATTTGCCAAATAAGGAAACAAGAAGAAAGATATGGAACAGCCCAAAAAGGAAAACGGCAAGAAAAATATGGGAGAGAGGGAGTATACGTTTTTATTAAAATAACGTATATTCACCTTGTTTCACTATTTTTAACTTTTTTATAATTTTTTTTGGTATATCCCACTATTTTTGTCTCACACTATATTTAGTAATAAACATAGTTGTCCCTATGCCAAGGCAAGGCGCTTTGCCAGTGTACTACTATGACGCCTAGACGACTAGGCGATTGCCTAAGTGACCTAGGCGGCAACACAGAAGAAATCAGGATTGGTATACATTAGTAACACTAAGTAACACTAATATAAATATAAACATACGTATTCTCTAAACCTAATCAAAATTTCAAATACACATTCTTAGAATAATATAAACACACCATAATATGAAAAAAAAGATGAATATGAAATACAAAATATGATTAAAAACAATAGGCGACTTCTTAGTTCAAAGTAAAAATTGAGTATGAAAAAACTCACTTACTTAAAGGCATAAAAGATTTTCAAAAGGCTAGGCCTAGTAGACGTCCACATAGCCGGCCTAGGCGAGGCTTAGGCGACACCTTGGTGAGGGATGCAAAATAAGGCGAGGCAATATACCATGGCGAGAGGCTTAGATCGCCAGGATGCCTAGGCGATACCTTGACAACTATGATAAGAAATGTGTAAATCACTCATTTGTACCTTTTCTTTCTTTTTATCATCTGTATCATAAAAGCACATTAAACCTTTACTTCTACAACTATGATTATATAAATAACAAAGGAATACTCAGATCTTTTAAGCTAAGAATTTATCAAAAAAAGGATTAAACAAAATCAGAAGAAAATCACAACGGAAAAAAGTCACAAAACTCTCCTACATCACAAAATCAGAAAAATCTTCTACATATAACAATTGCTTACTTCGTATGACATAAAACGTTAATTACTAAATATAGAGGAAATTCATAGCTTCTTATAGAGGCACACGAATAAACAAGTTCGTTGTTCGTTTCTGCCTAAAGGATGATTCCACTTATAATGCCTTGAATTAGATTAGATTCGCTCTTCATTTAGGTGTGGAAGTGCTTAATGTGGAGTTTTATTTTCAACATTTCAAATTTGAAGTGCCATTGTATTTCATTCCATGGAAAATTGCTTTCCAGTTTTCCACAAGTAAACAACCAGTTCCGAAAATTGCTTTTCAGAGTCCAAACCCTGCATCATTTAAATCAATTTCCCATATACTACAGTTTACAAAAGAAAACTTCTCCACTTTATCCTAATTCCTAATTACTCCGTAATTTTCAAAGACGAAGATAACTTGCACTGACGCTCAATAATTCCTCATTAATTTTCATAAATTTTATTTCTAAATGTGCTCTCTTTGCACATGCTAGTAGGCTGCATACTTTATTAATTCAACTTACCAGACTTTAGAACAATTGGAAAAAAGGATTAAAATATAAACAGAACCAGAAGAAAAACACATAGAAAAACAAAATCACAAAATTCTGTTACATCAAAAAATAAGAAAACTATCCTACATATAACAGTTGCTTACATCCTCAAACATAGAACATTAATTTCTTAATATATTATGTCAGAAGATGAAACACAATGAGACACAAACATCGACACCGTACCTCAAACAGTAGCAATAGAATTGTGGAAGAGAAGCTCACACCAAACCTCATCTGCCTACTGCTAGTACAAAATGAAGCACGATTTACCCAGTGCCGTTCGGAAAAATTTAACGGCTTATGTTAAAGAATTCTGAAATGAATAGGAAATTGAAGTCGTAGTAAATTGGGAATGATTACATGTGCCATGCCTGTGCACTACTTGAGCAATAATTGGAAGAGCCCACTCCACAATGCTGTGATGCTGCAGCGAAAAACTGCCGGAAACGGCTTTTTGAAATGGGATTCATCACGGGCTGGAATGGAAGTGGATGATCCAAGTGACAGTGTAAGGGTAAAATAGAAGTTAAAAAGAAGTGTACAAATGATAAAGAGTGAAGGTACTACCTAAATGGATGGAAAAGATGCATAAAATTATGGGGTACCTAACCCTCTTTGGCATTTATATAGATGGAAAGATATATATATGTATATATGTGTTTGTGTGTGTGTGTTTATAGGATACATTAATTTCAATTTTCAAGTACTCATGAATTGAGCAGAAGGCCATTATATGATATCCATTGTCAAAAACCTTATACTCTTTGCATGATGTTGATTTTTTTATATACAGCTATTTGATTTTCTTAATTCATATCCTCATGCAGGCACTGATTTGGTCTAAGATGAGTACAGGGCTACCAATTGAAATCATGTCATCTATGAAGGGGCAAAGTTATACCTCATTCTGTAGGCTGGATATAGATATTCATCGGTATGACTTGTATTGACATAAGGGTTCAGCTGTTCAAAGCAAATCAAATTGTCGTCCCAGAGGACTATTTTTCCTCAAATTTTGAAATCTTCTGACCTTAGCAAAAAAATGCACATCAAAGATTGTTCCTTCATTGAAAATTGAAAAGATGAATACGAGGTGCATTCCATCCAAATAATATTTTGTGGATTATTTTTTAATTCTTATTATATTTGTGATTTTTTCCTTTATGCTAGGAACATTCCTCACATTCATGTACATGAAAAACGTGAGAACAAAGAAAAGTGGCATGGAGCAGATATCCAAATAGTCATTGAAGGGAATTGGACAAGTTACCGTGTATGTGATGCTTACATTTGAGTGAATTAAGTCAGTAAAAGATTTAGTTCCTGGGTTTCAAACATGATTGGTCTTCATATTACTTATTATTCTCTCATTACATTTACAGTCAAAAATACTCCACTATATGCGTCAAATGGCTGTCATCACTCCTTATGCACAATTTATTTTCAAATTTATATCAGAGACTCCAGAGTAATTTTTTCTTTTCTTATTGTAGCTACTCTATTGTTCTCTTCCCTATGCTTATTATATTATCTCTATTTCTATTTATCTTTGTCTGCTGGTTTGTGGTTTCATTTTGGTACGTCAATTTTATGAAGAAAAAACGTGACCGTACGATTTACAAGGAGAACAGATATAATGCCTCCAGTTCCTCTTGAGACGAAGTATCATCCATCTGCTGTTGATATACTTCTGATCAAGCGGCTAATTGCTGAAACTTCAAAGCATACCCTTCTACAATTTTTTCAGCATGAATTTGTGAGCATAGGGAAATCCCATGCAGATCGTTTGATTGGTAAGTTCCTTTACTTTAGACCTGATGGCTTTAATATTTGTATGTCCACTCTACAGGAAAGTTGTACTCATCAAACAGCTTCTTAAAGTAGGCTCACTACATAATATGTCAAATAGGTTTTATATATTTGCTAATTGAAAGGTAGACGAAATCGTAATATGGTTTGTAAAAATGTATGACTCTATGCGTCTGTGGGGAAATTGTGATTTAGATCGCTATTCTAAGATTGGAAATACAGTTAACTCGTCCGGATTGCCATTCAGAAGCATCTAAAATCTCTAATTCGTGCGTAAGTTTCCTGAGAGTAATATTTCAGATTTGAAAGGCCTTGCGGCACCGGATTTCAGATCTGAAACCTAAGTATCCACTACGGGTGAAGTAGATCCACCACCTCTGCTGATAAAGTCAATTTATGGCCGCCGTCATTGTCCCCGGTTTATAAGCTTTGGTCAGTTTTGACTTTTGTTCTTCACTTCTCCTTCTGACTTTTCAGTTTTTTTTCATTATTGTCTTTCTTTTTTATTTTTCTTTGATTGGGGAAGGGCCAGGAGATGGGTCTTACACTCTTACTACTTACTAGTCACTGTGTATGTTTTAGATTCCGATTTTTTTCTCTTGAAAGCTAATTGTATGCTACACAGATAAATATAAATATAAAATACACACACATGCATGTATGTGTTGAACTCTCGCCATATCACACTTGCCATATTGTCGCCTAAGCGAGGGCGTAATTGATTAGGCAACACAGAGGTACCTTAGCGCCTTGTTGCTGTAACATTTATGGTTGATAGTATTTCAATTTTCAAGGAATTGATAACCCTGAAATTGTATTGCATTCTATATGATTTAGATTGATGAGATTAGTTGGGATGTCATATTTGAAGCATGGATGAAATTGGAACACTTGTTTTTTTAACCCAGATTCATTTTTTATAGGAGTGAGCATTTACAATTCTGTGAGTTCCCATGACACTATCTTGATAATGAAAATCATATCACAATGAGAAATTAAGCAAGCTGTAAATGACAACCAAAATACATATGACAACTCGTGATATATACAGTTATGATTGCGCACACGAAAAAGAATCTTGGAAACCACATGTCCTCATTACTTCCTTCTCCACTTGGACCACAATGACAAGGAATTTATACTCTTTTTTACAGAACAGCTGGAGAGCTCCATCACATTGCCAACCTATTTGGTCTGCATAACATAACGTTTTTGTGAATTGTGACCTTTGAGCATTTTGTTTTGCTACTAATTTTCTTTTGCCTCTCACTATCATCACATTTTTGTCATGTTCCTGCTAAATAACAAGACTTTTTATGGATATAGCTTTCAACTTGATAATATCTGAAGACAAGTACACGATTTTAAAGAAAAATAGTGAGCCTAATTTTAATTGGCCGAACCCTAGTATTTCTCGACCTTAGAGAGTCTGGGACTCACGGTTCAATGCTTTTATATTTCAACACCACGATCAAGTTGGAACATCATATGCTCTAATCTTGATATAATGAGAACTTGAATCCTGAAACTAGATAACCTGAACATGAAACTATACTGACAAATCTTGAAACAGAAAACTTGAACATAACTTGATGTATTGATTCATGACACACCATTCTGAGTCAACAACACATTCAGGGTGTGACTTGGAGACATTGACAGTAGGAGCAGAAGCAGTACAAATAGTAGCTGTAATATAGATCACAGTACCGGCAGTAGGAGTTGCATCTTTGACAAAAAATCTTAATACTATGAGATGGAATCAGCGCACAAATCCTTGACCGACTTTAAACCATATTTGTTTTGGCATATCTATCATGCACGCTCCAACATGATCTTGTTTATGAATATTGTATAAGATAGAAATCACAACTTATGTACATTTTTTGTTCAAGGCACTAGGGCTTTCTAATTGGTTGCACCATAAACTATTAGGCTTGTAAACTAATCATGTGGTGTGGAGTTCTTGGAACCTGTTTTCTAATGAAGACAAGCCTCCAAGACCAATTATAATTGAGTAAAATGCAAGAACAAAGATCTCGGAGACGCAAAGCAAGTAAAAGAGACCTCAGTGCTTCTACCATGCAATTTTGTTGTGACTAACATTGATCGTGGGTACCTCGTTGCGTCTGCTCAAGGATTGATGTCATACCCTTGTCAAGACATTGGCTGTTTAAAATGCATGTGCATTAACATACCTTATGTGTCTTTCTTCTCACGGTGCGCTTGAGGCTTGCACATGTAAATTCATAGTCGAAATGCTTTTTTAGAAGGAAGCATGAGTTGGTTTAGGTTGGAATTGGTGGTGGTCAACCTCTCTGAGGAAACATGCGCTCTGATAGGAGTTCCTAGAGGCTGTGTATTAGGTTCTAGAATTCTTGACGAAGTTGTGTGCGAGTCATTATTTGGCAGGGTCTTCTCGATAACAGTCTCTCCGCTATTTGTTGTTGGACTGCCACAAACACCATATAGTTGGACATCAACTCTCTTCCATACATCTTTCTAATGCTTGATTTGAGAAAGATCTGTTATTCAATGGCCTCCTACATACAAGATAAAAAGATTCAGAACATAAATAAGCCTGGGTTGGCTGGTTTCCATACTTTGTACCTTATGAGCAACATGTATCCTTCCTGTAGAGGTAAGGTCTTCGTACTTCTTACCCTCCCAGACCCTACTAATGAGCGGGGGATACTGGATATGTTTGGTTTGGTTTGAGTAGAGCTCACTGTAATAACAACAACAACCCAGTTGAATCCCACTACAGTAGGGTCTGGGGAGGGTGTGTGTACGCAGACCTTGCCCCTACTCGGAAGTAGGGAGGCTGTTTCCAAGAGACCCCCGGCTCCACCTGCACAAAAAATATGGTAGGAAACACAGTATAACACAGATAACATAGATAAAGCACCAAGTACAATGGAATGAAAGTCTTGCAAGCAATAGCAAATAATTCCAACCAAACAAAACACACTACAAAAGCCACTGAAGCACCGGGCCCTATCCAGCAACTCTAATCCTAGTTCTCACTGTATGCAAAATAAATTAGGAAAAATTATTGTTACTTTAAGTTATCAAGTTTTGCACAACATGATCTCGGATGCACGTGAATGGAACTGGAACACTTTGCTGGAATAAAATGCCATGATTTGCCGCACAAATTCAAGTGCGTGGCTGAGAGTCATCTTGACTACAGTGATATGTTTGAGCGCATCCAAGCCCTAAAGTGATTTTGTATGACTTCTTACATTTATATCTTCAAACAATGGGCTGGAGATGCCTCAACACAAAAATACAGAATCACAAGCTGCTAGGTTACTGTTCACCAAGCACAAGAAGAGTTAGGTTTATTTGGAATTGTACTTTTGTACTCGATAATATTTAAAGACTAAAACGATGCTTATGTAGTTCTCCATGTTATAGAGGAATAATGGCAAAGCCTGATGAATTGAAACCGTTGAACCCTAGGGTTTCTGAACCTATTGGTTTTATATTATTAAACTTCTATATCTATATATTCTATTTAAATTGAAGCTTCCTAATTTGTTCTGTTTTGAATATTATTACCACTCTTCCTACTCAATATTATATATTTGTATCCGTCTTAGTGTATTCATCCCATTTGACTTTTTCAGGCAAAGTTGACGAACCTTGGTTATCAATTTAAACAAAAATTGCATATTAATACAATGAAATAACTTTTTAAAAGTTTTTTTGTAATATAAACATAATGAAATCATATTTCTTATTAATATGCAATGTAATTTTTTAAAAAATTAATGACCAAAGTTTATTTATATTTAATAATTCATCGGCTTAATTGAAATAAAGTTTTCTCCTATAGATGTGTAGAACATTGTCAGATTGTGTTGCTTCCAAAGCTAAGCTTTGTCTTAAGTTTGTGAATATAGAAAAGAAATGGATTAACTTGGATATATGTATGTATGGTGGGTGTGCACTAATGCTACCCCCATGCAGCATAGTTGGACTCTGAGTTTGATAATGCATGCACGCACCCACATCATAAAGTGCAAGCTTTGATTCTGAATTTGAGAATGCAGGACAGAATGGACACCATATATGAAGTCACTTATTGATGTCAAATATTTTGAAATTTAACATATCATTTGTATACCCGATTGAAATACTTTGCGAATAAACTTCTGCTGTTTGGTTCAGGGGAGTTGGGTCCAGACTTTAGCGCTAAAATGCCAGTCAAATCATTAAGTTCTCAGCAGATTGTTCGTATCCATCAGTTGTTCCGTCAAGCCAAGTTCCACGATCCTAGCGGTGATGTAAATCCATGACTTATGGCTGTTTACTGTTTTTGTACTGCTATCCTGGCTTATTGTCACGTTTTGTGCTACATCATTGCATGTTCTGTCTTCTAATCATAGCTATCAATACTCATTTAACTGCAGGTTCTAAGTCCTGCGGGGGAGTATAATTTAAGGCTTGGAGTTATAAAGGAGCTGCATCCAGATATGCTTGCTACATATTCGGGAAGGTGTCTAGCAGTTTCCAACCTGTCTATTAGTCTGCTACTTAATAGAGTTACATATTTGTGCTTCATTGTCATTTGCAGTGCGCAAGTATTTGAAGGGCATCCTTTTATTGTGGAAGCTGGAGTTAGTTTGGGCGGAAAAGATGTGAAACATGTAAGATGTCCGCTTAGTATATTGAGACTATAGAAGAAACATCCACTACTAGTGGGCAAAAGATCTGTGACCAAGTGTCAAGATGTTTGCTCATTTAGTACATCATATGATCTTGTGTGGTATTCCATTGGTGGTAAAAGATTGAGATAACAATTTGTAACATTGAGATTTTCTAGATTATAGAAAACACCCACTAGTAGTGGGGAAGATCTCAGTGACCAAGTTGCAAGATGTGGCATACTGTACCTTTCTTATATACATGCATTTAGTTGAAAGATTTGGCCTACTGTGCGTTATACTTCTAGGGGTTTTACTTTATGTGTCTTGAGGATCTCACCTAGTATTATTATACGAAGTATTATATTTTATTCACATCCTGACATTCTGATTTGAACACATTCTAGGGTCTAAATATATTTCGGTTTGCTAATCGCATTCCCCTTCTATTTGAGCAAGGAGCTGATGTTGTTACCCGAACCGCTTTGAAGAGGATCAAGTAATATCTAGTTTACATTGTGCTGTTTAGCTCTAGTTTATCAAAAAGCTGATTTTATTTCTATCTTCAAAGGGGAACATTTTTTATTCCTTTACAATACTGTTAAATTGGCAAAGGACCTAATTAAATAGCCACTTTCAGCTGGAACAGTTACAAGATTAATCAGGCACAAGATAAAATTGGCGTCTTCGTCAGTATTGTAAGCACCAAAATTCCTTTTAAAGGGACTGGGAAGGAATACATTGGAGATGATATAAGTGAGATAGCTTCTGCTGTGAAGGTAGATTTTAATTCAGTTATGGTTCAAAATTTCAAGGGAGTTAAAACTTAAAAGAGTCATTTGTGACAATGTTTTACTTCGGGTGTAATAATGTACTAAATAACAATGACACATTAAACTTCCCTTGCCTCGTATTTCCTACGGCATATTGGGCATTAGGAAACAACCTATGTTTTTTACTGGGGTAAGGTTGGGTACATCTTGACCCCCTAGACCCCGTCGATGTTAATACTAGGTTTGTTGTTGTTTGTGTTGTATAGTTCAAAATTTTATGGGAGTTTCTTCTGTTCTGGTCTTAACTGCATTAAAAAAATCAGACAGCCATTCAACAGTGTTGTGTTCAGCTAAAATCTAAAATCGTAAAAAGAAAACAAGCTCAAGAGCAGCAGGAGAGAAAGCGTAATTTGACCAGGTATGATTGATTCACTAGGTAAGTGATAATATGACATGGTTTAGATGACCCCTAATTTATTGTATGTTTTTCAGGTACATCCCTAGTGCTTCTGTTTCTATATTTGAAGTCCTCAAAGATATGTCTAAGAAACATGCTTCCAAGAAGAGGCGCTTTGAGGATGGAGATTCAGATTTACTGAAACAAGTTTCAGATGATTTAGTTACAGAAGAAACACTGAGACTGAAGCTTGCTCAGCATGTTCAACAGGTGGGTTTGCATGAACTTACCATGTCCTATCAGTATGATACGTCCGAACACATGGAAATCCTGCAGTTATAAGGAGTAAATTTTAAAAGAAATTAAAAATTTGTCCTGCAACTTGCAATGGCTATTGTCATTATCATTATCATGGGGGTTTCCCACTCCATCTGTTCTTTTTTTATCTTCTCAATTTCCTTTTTTGGAAATCCCTATTTAATCTTCCCATTCCGTTTTCAAGGAAAATCTGTTTGGTTCATATACTTCTCACTCTTCTACACAAATTTCAATCACACAATTTCACCTCTTTAACTCTTTGTAAAAACTTTTACAAGATTAAATAGGGACGGAAAGAGTATTATACTTCTTTAGGAGTTATCTGATGCTTCTAGTGAAATACACACTTCACAGGTTGACTATGAGATGGCGCTAGAGTATGCCACACAGACTGGGGTAAAGGAAGAGCCCAAAGAAGATATTTACTTGCAAGTGTTGAAGGATGATGATAAGTTCACCGATTTCCATAGCCCAATATTTCTCTTCAGACTTTTCCATTAGGTATTTATACGCTTCTTCTCACTCCACCTCTATTCTCTATGTCCATTTTGGAGTTGCAATATGCTTTATACCCATAATGCAGTAGATGAATTACAGAGATATAAGATAGGTTACAAATGTTGGTCCTATAAAGAAACATTGTTCTTTACATTTTACTCCATCTTTTTAGATGGAATACAAAGTTTTAAACTACTCTATGAAAGTGGATAATGTAACGTCGGGTACTGAGTATTCCATTGAAGTTGTATGAGATCATTATCCTTGATCTGCTCTGTTTATAGCTTTAAATTCATTAAAGAGCAAATCTAAGGCTCATGCATTGTTGACATTAATCGGTGCCGCATACTCATGGGGTGATCATACTATTGGCTTGTCAATATGTCGGGTTTGGATGCAACTCAAAACCCAACCCTGTTTTAAAAAATGGACCTACCCACACCCAGGACTCGGCTCACTTTTGTTCCTAGGTTCAGACTTGTTCGTGTCTTGGTTTGGTCCAGGTCTAGGTTGTCAGGTACAAAGCTTTCCAAAATATTACCCATTTTATAAATTTTAAACAGGTCTGGGCCCGACCCGAGTTGGGTAAATGGAATTAAACCTACACTACCCACAAATCAAATGATAAGTTCAGGTCGGAACTGGGTCTATGCATGACCCATTCACAGGCTTAAATTTAACTTATTTTTATGCTTTTGGATTTTAGCTGAAGGCAACATTGTTGAATTGCAGTTTGATTTTTTTGAATGCAAATAATACCAAAACGGAAGAAACTCTCATAAAGTTTTGAACCGTACAACAACAACAACACAAACAACAAACCTAGTATTATCTTTAACATCATTAGATTATAGGGGGTCAGGATGTACACAATCATACCCCCACAAAAAAAACAAAGAGGTTGTGTAATGCCTTGAAACATACTTTAAAAAGTATACCAAAATTACTAACTATTTAAAGAGAATTTGTTTTAGTTTATGTTTTGGCTTTAGGTTAATGGTGAAAGATTTCATAATATTGTTTCCGAGTGCCATGGCTTTGGGAGGCATGAGTGCCGCATTTAATCATCTTTTTCTAAAAGTTTTTAATTTTTTTTTAAAGAAGAAATATTTTGTTGTTGAAAGAAGCAGTCAAGAAGATGTATTTTTATGATAAAATATATAAATAAAATAATTCTTAATGATTCAAACATGCCAAAAAATTCACAGTGACAAAAATATCGACTTACCACTATAGTACATGTCACTTCACTCAGATGTTATTCTCTGATTTGACTGTTTCTTCTTGATTGAAATATACGTTGTCAGTGGGTGGCATTTCATTACCTAGTAGCCATTGGTCGTGTTCTTATATACTTTCACCATCTCATACCCCCTCCGTCCCAAAATGGATGCCACACTCCGAAGAACATGTAAAATCTCATCACTTTTATAGTCAATTCGACGACAAATTAGTATAGAAATAAAAAGTATAAATTACGTCGTTCAAAAATACATAAAAAATCTATAGAACAAAAGATGGCGAAAAATATTTTATCTTATCAAATTATTAATGAAAACATACAAACAAAAGTTATCAAGATGCTATAATAGTAACAGTGGTATCCATTTTTAGACAGAGGGAGTATTAAAGTTCTCATTTCTTTTTGTAGAAATCACCCTAAATACAACTAAAACATAGAAAAAAGCACTAAAATAGGAATTCCATGTTTTTATTCCCAAAATAGGATTTCGCACTGTGGTAATGTGGTTGTAATGTGACACTGTAAATGTACACATTAGTATACTTTTTTAGTAAAGTACATGATTTGATAATATAATGCATTTTAACTCCTATTTCAGGAGTAAAAACATGGAAGTCCTATTTTAGTATATTTTCAATATTTTACTCCTACTTTAGTCTTTTTTCCTTCTTTTTGCTCACAAAGTATTAAACAATATTCTTTCCGTCCTAAAAATGGTTCCCATATGTCTTTGTGTGGTTAAAACTAAATAAACTTGACAATAGAATTTGAAAAGAAAATATTGAATAATACCCCGACTAATATAAATTTAATGGCATCTTATTTGCCTTGAAATGCAATTGTGAAATACTACTTTCCAGTGTATTCGACTAGTTTGGCTCTAATTGAACGGGATGAACTTTAACCTCAATTAAATGATAAGAACTGTATATTTTATATTAATATAAAAATAATTTAATTAAAATTATCTACTTAGGATTTTCAAAATTGTAATTTGTTGTGTTAATATGCAATACAAATAAAGAGTAACAGATGTTTTAAGTTTATCCGGCTTGTTGTAAAAAAGTCAAACTGAATGAATAGTGACAGGGGAGTATTGTGTTTTATACTCCGTAAAATTTATATACGTATAAATATTGATATTCATGGTAAAATTACTAAAGAAAAATTGAAACTAAACTGAGAAAGATTAAAAAGACATGATATGGGAACTCCTTTGGTCTTGATTTTCTAATTTACATATGCAATTTGAACAATAAGCTTTGTCATATCTCCGATAGAGAATGAATCTAATATTCTAACATATCTCTTAGAAAATGAACCACGAACCTACTGTAAAATAGTACCTACGTCCGAAAGTAGTCAATGGAAAGATGCCATAATGTAGAGTTGATACTATTTTGTAGAGTCATACTTGGAGTTAGTGACTATCTTTAGGTTGCAAGTTGTTAGGTTAAAAGTGAATCTTTCGGGGAAAATTTAAACAAGATGATTCCATTGATAAGTACAAAGCTAAACTTGTAATTAAGGGTTAGAGTCAACATGAAAGCTTTGATTCTTTTGGTACCTATGCTCGAGGATAAATTTCACTAGGATATGATGAAACTTACAATAACATCTTTGTGAAACGTAGAAGTTCATCAGATGAATGTAAATACAACTTTCTTTGATGGAGATCTAGACAATGAGATCTACATAGAGCAACTTGAGGGGTTCAAAGTTTTATGTCAAGAAAGAAAAGTCTGTAAACTTGTTAAGTCATTGTACTATTTTACGCATGCGTTAGAGCAATAACATTAGAAGTTTGACCAAGCAATGATTAACTCTGGCTTTAAAGTCAATGAAGTGAAAAGTGTGTTTATGTGAAAGACACAACTCGATAGTATGTCCTTTTATGTCTTTATATAGACGACATACTCATAGTGGATAGTAAAGAAAAGATGGTCAATTCTACCAATAATATGTTAAACTCGTGGTTTGACATGAAGGGGATTGATATGGATGAAGTAGTTATCGAAGTTAAAATTGTGAGAAGTCTAGACAATCTTGCTCTAAGCCAATTTTATTTTATTGACAAAGTCACTAATAAATTCAACAAAGATGACATTAAAATAACTATGACGATGCAATTGGATGTCAATGCTCATCTAGTTAAAATTGGAGGTTCTAGTTACTCTCAAACTGAGTATGCGAGAGCTATTGGAAGTTTGGTTATTTAATGAGTTACACTCATCCAAATTTAGCCTGTGCTATAAGTAAACTTATCAGATACACTGGTAATCCAAGTACGGGGAAGGCTATAGTATGTGTGATGAGATACCTATGACATACACAAAATCACAGCCCATGATACTCGAGATTTTCACGGAAAAAGTTGGAAGGATACACAAACGCGAATGAGATATCTCACTGTAAATACTCAAAACTTAAAAGTGGATATGTCTTTACTCTAGTAGTATCTTGAAAGTACTCAAAGAAAACATTGATTGCTAGGCCCACAATCGAATCTAAGTTCATAGCTCTAAATAAATATGGTGAGAAAGCTGAATGACTACGCTACTTGAGGATATTTCTAGATGGGACAAACTAGTCGCACTAGTCTACAACTGTTGTGATTATCAATCAACAATACGACGTGCTAATAGTAACATTTATAATGATAAACCTAGACACATTCGTTGTAGACACAATACTATTAGACATTTCTCACAATTGGAATTGTTACAATTGTCTATACAAAAGTTAAAATTTAATATCATAGATTCCCAAACCAAAGGATTAATAAATGAGTTGCATGAGAAGGTGATAGTAAGAATGGACTTCAAACCCTTGTGCTAGGAAAGTCTTACGATGAAAAACCCAACATGGGTGGTACCCAAATAAAATGGAACATCCTATTTTAAGATAAAGCGCAGTCACTTTAGAGCCAGTGCTGGCACCTGATTAGTCCCTTTCATTCCTGCTTAAAATCGTGAGATGTCGTCAAAACCAAAATCAATTTTTCATTCATGTGGAGAATTGCTGGAGATTTGGTTTTTAATAGGAATTAATGAACCAACTTTTGGCATAACTATTGAAAAGATCCAATTACAGTTTGATAGTTCATTAATGGAAGTGTGCTCTTTTAAATAGGACGAACATTTTATCTCATGTCCGCCAAAAAATGATAAACGGGTTAATGAAAAATTGTATCTCAAAGTCGTTCGGTTAAGTATTAAGAAAAGGTTGAGTTTTGTGATTTTCCATACCAAATTGTAAACTTACTCCATAAACACTCCACTATATAAGTGTGAGCATTTAAGAGCTTAATTTGTAAAAGCTCTATGGGAGTATAAAAAGAAAGTTTATGCGCGAGGGCGATGACGTTATTCTTTTTGGACCAAACTTCTACTACTTTTTGTACGTTATTTCAATTTAGTTCTTCAACTACATAGTTAAATGGTCATTGATATTCCATTAGTCAGGGCAAACTTGAACTTAAGGTGTTTATAAGTGATCACTATTATAATCATAACCTATTATTAATGATTATTAAGAAGGTCATTACGTGTTTCTTTTGTTTCAAAAGTAAAGAGATTTTTCATCCTATTTGAATGCCTAGTCTCTACCATCCAGCAAGACCGGCAGACAGATACACACACGTGCAGAGAGTATAGTTGTTTCCGGCAATCTTCACTTCCAATAATCTTTTCTTCCATAAAAAATCGTGTTGGGGTATCTATGAATAACAAACCACAACCAAACAAGAACATGCACAAAATAGAAATCAAAACGGAGAAAACAGAACATAAGATTTAAAGTGCTTCAGGTGGCTGACCTATATCCACTCTACAACTAGAGTTTTTATTATTCAGGTGCTCACTGACTTATAAGTACGAATATTACTTGAAAACTAAACTACAGTTAAATTCTTAGCCCCCAAGTTAGGCCCAAGCCTTGATTGATATTTAGGGCTGGCTATATTAAAACATAATTTACCATCATTATTAATTACTATTACTATTAACTACGATGATAATAAACTATTATCATTATTATTCACTAGACTCATACTCGTGCGTTGCACGGCCA